AAGAAGACACCTGGACGATGAGCTTTCCACTTATGAGCACAGCCTGAGCTTCCTGATATGATTCTCCAAAAACACACAAAAAAAATGCAAGGAAAAACAAAAAAAAAAATCAAAATATGGTACATAAGATGTGAGCAAACTACTCAGGGCTGGTAAACGGGGTCGTCAAAAATGATCTCTTCAACCTGGTTCACCCGCTCTAAGTAATTTTTCAGACGCTGGCCATTTACTTTGAATATTCTCCCATCGGTCAGGTCTTCAACCTCGACAACACCATTGGGAAAAACGCGTTTCACTACGAACGGGCCAGCCCACCGTGACCTCAACTTACTGGGGTGGAGATGCAAACGGGAATCACAGAGATGAACCCGCTGATTCGGCTCAAAATTCTTCCTCAGGATCTGCTTATCATGAGCCGCTTTCATTTTTGCCTTGTAGATCCTGGAATTATCATAGGCATCGTTCCTTAACTCCTCAATTTCGGAAAGCTGGAGCTTCCGATTGACACCTGCAGCGCTGAGATCGAAATTGAGGGCCTTGGTAGCCTAATAAGCCTTATGTTCGAGCTCTACAGGTAGATGACAAGCTTTTTCAAAGATAAGCCTGTAGGGAGACATCCCAAGTTGGGTTTTGTAAGCAGTGCGGTATGCCCAAAGTGCGTCCGGAAGGCGCAGAGACCAATCCTTGCGATCGGGTTAACCGTCTTTTCTAGAATTTGCTTAATCTCCCTATTGGCCAACTCAGCTTGGCCATTTGTCTGTGGGTGATAGGCAGTTGAAACTTTAAGAACCACATTGTACTTGCGCATCAGAGCCTCAAAAGAACGGTTGCAGAAATGGGTGCCTTGATCACTGATGATGGCACGCGGCGTTCCAAATCGAGATAACACATTTTCCTTTAAGAACTTTACAACAGTAGTGTTATCGTTGTTCCGGCAGGCCAAGGCTTCTACCCACTTAGACATGTAATCCACGGCAAGGAGTATGTAGAGGAATCCATAAGAAGGTGGAAATGGTCCCATAAAGTCTATCCCCCAACAATCGAATATTTCTATTGTGAGAATCGGGTTCAAGGGCATCATATGGCGACGGGACAAAACACCTAGCTTTTGGCACCTCTCACAGGAACGACAGAAGTCATTGGTGTCCTTGAATAAAGTGGGCCAATAAAGACCACACTGTAAGATTTTCGTGGCGGTCTTCTTCACAGAAAAATGACTGCCACATGCATCGTTGTGGCAAAAGGTCAGGACACTAGACACTTCATCATCCGGGATGCATCATCTTATGATCTGGTCGGGGCAGTACTTAAAAAGATAGGGGTCATCCCAATAAAAGTTACGAACCTCGACCAGAAACTTCCTCCTGTCTTGTGCACCCCAGGTAGATGGAATCTCGCCCGTCACCAAGTAGTTAACAATGTTCGCATACCATGGCATCTTAGTGACGGCGAAGAGATGTTCATCGGGGAAGTCATCTCTAATAGCAGGAATTTCGGCGGAATCATTAAATTCAAGACGAGATAAGTGGTCCGCCACCACATTTTTGACTCCCTTCTTGTCCTTGATTGTCAAGTCAAATTCCTGCAGGAGAAGGATCCACCTAATTAAACGCGCCTTAGCATCCTTTTTGGAGAGAAGGTACTTAAGGGCGGCATGATCTGTGAAGATGGTGATAGGTGAACCAATCAGATATGCACGGAACTTGTCGAGAGCAAATACTACAGCAAGCAACTCTTTTTCAGTAGTAGAGTAGTTCATTTGAGCACTATTCAGAGTACAGCTTGCGTAGTAGACAACGAAAGGCTTCCCCTCCCTTCGTTGACCAAGAACGGCCCCCACAGCATAATTACTTGCGTCACACATGATCTCGAAAGGTAAGCTCCAATCTGGTGACTGCATAATAGGGGCAGAAGTCAATTTTGTGATGAGTGTTCGGAATGCATCCTCACACTCTTGTGTCCAGTTGAACACAACATCTTTTGCTAGGAGGTTGCTTAGCGGTCTCGCTATAGATGAAAAGTTCTAAATGAACCTCCTATAGAATCCGGCGTGCCCCAGAAAAGATCGGACATCTTTAACGGCCTTGGGGGTGGGCAGGTTGGAAATGAGTTCAACCTTAGAGCGGTCGACCTCGATTCCTCTTTCAGAAATAATGTGCCCAAGAACTATGCCGGATGACACCATGAAATGACACTTCTCCCAATTGAGCACGAGACCCTTCTCTTCACATCTTTGTAGAACAACTTCCAAGTTGAGAAGGCACGTGTCGAATGAATCTCCGAAAACTGTCAAATCATCCATGAACACTTCCATACATTTTTCGATCATATCACTAAAAATGCTCATCATACACCTCTGAAATGTGGCAGGTGCATTACACAGTCCAAATGGCATTCGCCGAAAGGCATAAGTGCCAAAAGGACATGTGAATGTTGTCTTATCCTGATCTTCTAATGCTATCTCTATCTGATAATATCCT